GCCGCCGTGTCCGTGCGATGTCCGGCACCGCCGTGTCACGCTGCGGCTCTGCGGTCGTGTGCGAGGTGCCGGTGCCTCGATGCCTTCTGCAGCCAAGAAGCAGGGCTGGCGCAGAGGGGGCTGCGGGGATTCTGGTGGGGGTTTGGGCAGTGTGGAGATGCCCCAGGGTCTTGTGGGAGCCCTCTGACTGTCCCCCAGTCCCGTGGTGGGGCAGTTTGTGTCACGTGGGGCTGACCTTACAGGCTCTCTCCTTCTCAGGTGGAGGAATTCCGGAGGAAGGACGCAGCGGAGGGGCTGAAGATCGCCCAGGTGCTGCAGGGCTTTGTGAACCGCAAGGTGGTGAAGCAGACGGTGATGACGGTGGTGTACGGGGTCACGCGCTACGGCGGGCGCCTGCAGATGGAGAAGCGCCTCAAGGAGATTGAGGAGTTCCCTGAGGTAATGTGCCGGCCCCGGCTCCCCCTCCCCGGCAGAGCTCAGCTCTCAGTCCCTGCGCTGCCCTTCCTGGGGGTTTCCCTCCTGTCTGGCTCTCACCCCCCAAATCTCAGCAGTGGGGTGTGTGGGGCTGAGCCCCCCATGCCTCTGCCTGGCTTGTCCAGCCTGTAGGAGAGCTGTCTTGGGGGGGAGGATTCTTCACAGGGGGGCTGCTCCTCATCCTTCCTGGGCCCAGCCTGGTGGCATGACAGCCTCAACTGGTGTTTTGGGTGCAGGACGAGGGTTGAGGCTGTGCTCTTCCCTCGGGAAGCAGCCCTTGTCTCCGGCAGAGCTGTCGGAGGCTGCTCCTCCTGGCACTTCTTGCTCTGGGACCCCACCACGAGACAGCCCATGCTGAGTGGGTGCTGTGCCGTGCTGTGCCGGTGCTGGGAGTTGCCATCCTGGGGCAGCTGAGGTGGTGAGAGTCTCCTGTTCATCCAGGGATGTTACACGGATCAGCCTCTACTTGGACCAGGAGCCTTCTGAAACTCCGGGCTCAGCCTCCTCCCTCACAGCCCGCAGCCAGCTGCCCGCGACAGCTCGGGACGTGCCGCAGTCCGCAACGGACGTGCCGCAGTCCGCGACGGCAGCAATTTTGGGGCTCCAGGGAGCAGGAAGATGCTCCTTGAGCTGACCCCTTTTACTGCCCCATTGCCTGACCCCTCGCTCTGCCTCGCTCTGTGCAGGAATACCTGTGGGAAGCCTCTCGCTACCTGGTGAAGCAGGTGTTCAGTGGCATCAAGGAGATGTTCTCAGCCACTCGAGATATCCAGGTAAGGTGCCGATTGGTTTTCTTCTTCTCTGGTCCACCCACACGCAGACCAGGGGATCCTCCGTGGGGAGAGATGGTTCCTCTGGCTCCTGGCCCAGAGAGGATCCCTCCATCCCAGCCCTGGGATGCACGGTTGTGCCTGGTACAGGGCCAAACCTCCCCGCAGGCAATCACAGACCCCATAGGCGTCGGGTGTCCTGGGGTGGGACGGGGTCTCCCAGCTGCCTGTCCTAACGCCAGCTGCTTTCTTCCCTGCTCCCTCCCCCTACGGAAGAACTGGCTGACGGAGAGCGCCAAGCTCATCGCCCAGTCGGGACAGACCGTGGAGTGGGTGACGCCACTGGGGCTGCCCATCGTGCAGCCCTACTATCGCTGCAAGCCCACTGTGGTAAGTCTCTGGTGTGCGGGACTCACCCACCCCATCCCCCT